ACATATACAAAACTAATTAACTGATACAATATGTACTCAAAACGCAACTAAACGTATTTACAACAAAAAGCGGGGTTATTCAACCGATATTACAAACAAACAGTTGATAAGTGCAATAAAAAGTATATACAAAATAACTACACTTTTCACTTATCAGCCTCGTCCATTGATAATGCTCTCATGTTATAAACATAAAAACGGAAAATTCTGAAATATAGCAACAAAACTACCTTTTCGTATATGTGTCAACACTACAACTGCTTGATCCAATGCAGGCATGTTAATGTTCATCACATTCGGTAAGGGATTAGAAGAGCAAAGTTATAGATCAATAAATAGATTAAACACTAAATCCAGTGGATCAGATGATGCATAAGTGTCCTTCAAATAGTACTTTGGTTGAGGTAAATGAAATATTTTTATAAGATCACAACGATTGATTATTCAAAGCCAAAGCTCAAACAACATTCATATGTCATTTGTCTGTACCAGAGTGAAGCACAATTAATATAAAAAATGAAAAAGGAAGATAAAGACAGAGATGTCAAGTCAAGCAGATGATAATGATATATATATATATATATATATATATATATATATATATATATATATATATATATATATATATATATATATATATATCAGTGAAGTGTGGGGTAAATTGTTTTGATCCAAATTAAAACATAAAATTAGCTGACCTTGACCAACACTTTGTTCTTGCCAATAACTTTGACAACTTCACCAATATATAAGCCAGGCTCTTGAAGAAGTTGCAGTTCTTCACGAAGCATCCTCACTGTCCAAATTTCAATAGGGAGAACTACACCAGAGTTTATAAAATGTAATGAAAAATAATATCTACATCTAGTGATGCCAAAGATAAACACCTAGAATTCCCGAGTTGAACTTGTAGTCCATATATCAATATTAATACTTCATAAGGACAAATGCATAAACATTATGAAATATAGACCAAAATAAATAAATTCTCAATATTCTCCATCATGACACCTTTAACATTTGAAACATGAGCTTTCACCTTTGCAAGCTTGCTTATGTTCCTTCAACTTCAGCCTGTGCAAAAAGGTTAACACATGAGCCACAATACAATATAAATTCACTAGCTTAAAATTCAAAAGTTAAGAACAAAATGTTAGTACCCAAATTCCTTGTTAAGGTTGTTTGGAGGAGGTGTAGAAGCCTTTTCACTACCATCTTTCGATACAAAATTATCCTCGACACGCTCTAGAAAGGCCATGGGAACCCGTCTTTCAATTGATTCATCTGCAACAACATAATATGCTGCAAATACCAAAAGTCAAATATTTCTTCTAAATGTCACCAGTAAACATAAGCAGCAACATAAAAAAAAAGCATTATCATTTGATAATTTAAAATAAAGACGGGTGTTTGTCATGGCTAATTCACCCTCACTGTTGTGTACCACGCTTGATTCCTCCTACGCATCCATCCTTGAAAAATTCTACATTACCAAACCATCCTCTCAACCATTGTTCTTCTGACGGAGAAGGAGCTATAGATCATGGATGTGCTGAGTATAGTATTGTCGAAGACCTTCGCCCTGCTTGGTTGGCTTTGCAGAGAAATGCTCCTCAGGTGCACCATTTTGCACGCTTCACTTCTACTCCCACAATAGCCATAGATCAAGCACTTTCCTCTGATGTAAACAACAATTTATTTCAAACACATAACATTGTTACAAACTCATCAAAAGATTCAGAACCAAAAAATAGAAAAAGTATTGAATTTTGAACCCTAATCCTAAAAATCATATTCAGAATCATAATAACCTAACAACCCTAATTTTTGTTTACCCCAAAATTCTACAAGAATTATAGGAAATAGAGAAGCTACCTTTACGAATTCAGCATAGATTCTGGTTGTTCTTCTCTTCTTCGGTAGCGATGTGATTATGTTCTGAGTGTGACAGGAGAAGAGGGAAGATAAATGAATGAGAGATACGAGGATGGTTGTGAGATAAAGAAAGATAAAGAAGAACGAAGTGGAAAAGGAAGAGAGATTGAGGTGAAAAATTATAGAGAGAACACATGAAAAAAGACAAGAGAGAAAGAGAGAGAGTGTGAAGATTTCAAATTTTTTGAATTAAATAGGTTACATTAGTTTATATTTAACCAAACAACCTCAAGTGACATTATCAATTTATTCCAACCTAATGATCAAAGTCAAAAAGCAGCAATCTATATATTTGAAATAGAACTATATAACATCATTAGTTGCAAAAAATAATTTTAGGACCAAAATTACTCCATTTTAGAGAGGTGAAAAAATTAAAAGGAAGGACAATTGTGAATTTTCCAGAGCTTAAAAGATTCTATATGGTAAATAATTAGTTTTCATTTGATTTTTATATAGAAAATTAATTAAAAAGAAAAGAAAATGGACTAATCTTTTTTATGTTAAATTCTTTAATACCTTTGAGTTTTGATTGGATATCGATAAATGAAATTAATTTAATTTTTTTTCTATTATTCAAATAATTTTCATTTTTACTTATAGTCGTCTTAATTTATTCAAATAATTTTCATCATAGCCGTCTTGCTAAAATGAATTATTTATTTAATATAATATAAATAATTTTTATTTTTAATTATAATATTTGTTTGAAAGATTAATAAGTAAAATAACTTAGTGTGTAAGTTTAAAATCATATGTATTGAATATAAGTATATTATTGAAAAATTAATAAATAAAATAAATTATTAAAATTTTAATTTTTAAATAAAGGTGATTCATATTTTGTATTAAATTTATTAACAATTTTTTTTACTTATTGAGTTTTGCATTAGATAAGAGTTCAATAATGTAGCTATATATATATATATATATATATATATATATATATATATATATATTATATATATATATATATATATATATATATATATATATATATATATATATATATTTATATATATATATATATATATATATATATATATATATATATATATATCAAAGATCATTTTTCTACTTAATTATACTTTTAGTCATGCCACTATCAAATATGTACCAAAATTAATATTCTATCATATTTCTAATCAATTTCTTATCTTATCTTATCTTATTGTTATCCCATCTTAGGCACCACTAAAGAATCTTATATATTTATCTTAAGAATAGTTTATATTAAAAACACATAAATTTTAAAAGATCCTCTAGGAATGGCAGGCAGGTTAAATAGGTGAATTTACCCGCACCTAAATTTGAGTTAACGGGTAAAAATTTTAGTTAATGAATTTCGATTCGAGTTTGGGTGTCACTTGCTATTTTGGGTATGAGTCCTGAATTCACTCAAATCCGTACCCGAAACCCTAAATTACACTCACTTAAATATAAAATTACATAAATACTTATAAATATATATAAGTGTAAAAATTTAAGATCTTAATTTTAATCATAATATTATCAAATTAATGAAAAATTATAATCTAATTCTTTAATTTCTTTGAAAAACCTTAATAAAATTCTTATGTTTCAAATTTCAATATTATTATTGTATTTTTCGTATGTTTATTACAGATTTGAGTTTTGATGAAAAAACTCAAACGTATCAAGTATGAACATGTGTACTATTTTATCACTCAAATAATCTTTAAATTTAAATTTAAATTTAAATAATAATTTTAAATGTGAATTTGAATAATATGAAACCCACACCCAATCCAATTCAACCCAACTCAACCCGTTCTAATCTATAGATGCCCATTCAAACTTCCATTTAATATAATTGTTTCTATTTCCGTCCTTCACGTCTTTCCCGTACAATTATTAGCCTTAATTATCACATAACCTATTCTTTTTTTAATATGTTCATTATCTGTTTAAGCTTTACATAGACTTTTGACACCAACAAACTATTATTAATTTATTATTCAGTTTTCTAATGTATTGGACCTATTGTTTTCCAAATTTACAACTATTCATTACCTAAAACTGGCATATTTATATAACTTTTTGGCCATGATCAAACAAACATGGCTATAGTGTAATTGAAATGATATTTTATATATCAAAGTCTTTTTTTTATCTTTTTTATTGAGTTATAATAGATTCGTTGAGGGGACATATGTGCTTAACGTACATGTTGTAATTAAATATCCAAATTGAAAATTCATCTTAATCATTGGAATATGGATCTAACCTTTGGATCATTAATTGGGTGCCAGCATATATGGCTACTTTTTGAGGGAGCATATAATATTTTATTATTGCAAAAAGACAAAACAAAACTTATCTTAATTTTGTATTGGAATAACATTAAATTCTTCATCACACTTAATCAGAAAAGAAAACATACTTCTTATTTACTCTAATAATAAACTATCCGGTGATTCCGATCTCAATTAAAAGATAAAATTAGTTAAATATTTTTGATATAGTTCACTTAATTTATGGATAAAATAAATTAATTTCAAAAGTAAATTTTATTTAAATTTTAAAATAAAGAGTATAAGAAAAAAAATGAACATTTATTATTTTAATTTTTCGGATATAATATATTATTTGATATTAAAATAATTAATGTATTGTCAATTTTTAATAGTTTATTATTCTAAAATAATTTAAAAGTTGTATTGATTTTTATATTTAAAATATCATATCCAATAAAACTCAAAAAAATTATAGAATTGCAACAATAGATATAAATTTGAATTCTTCAATTCACCACTTCTCTATTATTCTCTATTAACCAAGCATATAAGAATTTCATAATCCAAGCTTAAAAACAAAAATAAAAAGATCAATTAAACAAGAAACCTAGTTGATATTTTTATTCACAAAATTAATACTCACCATATTTGAAAAGAAAGAAAAAAGAGAAGAGAAAATTAATCATTTAACTATATATTTTAATAACTCAAGTATAGAACCATTTTTTGGTTCATATTTCCCTCCATGTATTCAGATTCCGGCACCGGCAAATTTTTCAAAACAAAAAACCTAACACAAGTCTTCTGTTATACTTCAAGATGAGGCTGCCACACCCCACTCCGGCTATGCCGGCGATCTCGCCTCGAGATTCTCATCTCCTTAGACTCATAATACTTTCGCGACGATGATAACGTATCATCGTCGCACTTGTTATTTTTCTCGTCAGAGGAGAACACTTTCTTGTTCTCAAGATCTTTTTCCGCGACAGTTCTCCTCACCCGCCTTTTCTTATCCGGTATCGACGAGGACGGGATCAAGAAGTATATGCTTCCTCTCTTGAGCTCAGTCTCCGGTGAAAGGATGAGAATCCGGCGAACGACGCCTTCGGAGCTTGGTTTGCTTAGAACATGATTTGGATTGGCTTTGAGGACTTCACAGCTGAAATTGGACGTGAAAAACTCTCTACATAACCATTTAAGTGAACTATACGAATCAAGTCTAGTGCTCCACATGGAAGAACACAAGCCAAACAACACCTTAAGCTATTGCCCATTGTTGTGTTTTTGGAGTTATGAGGAATTTTTGATGTTGTTATTTATAAAATGTGGAATGAGTTGGAGGTGAGTTGTGTGTGTGTGTTTATATATTACATTATTTGGTAGAGAACAAGAGAAGTACCGTGTGTACACTCAATAATAATAAAATAAACAAATATTTTATTTGTCAAAAAAGTTGGCACAATTGACAAGATTTTTTTTTAATATCTAAATATATATAAAAATAAAAAGAGAACTACAAACACAAAAAGAAATATAAACCGAAACTTAATGCAATAAAAAATATAAATAATCTAAAGCGGTGATATAAACCCGTCATTAAAAGATAGAATAAATAAAATTTTAATTATAATAAATAACCTCGTATCACTTGTACAATTCAGTGAACCTACTTAGGAGATCGAAATTGAATTGCAAAAAAGAAGTGTATATTACCTAAATCAAGATCTAAGAAGATGGATAATGAAATTGATCACCAATAAGGTAACAAATTCATATACCAATAATTCACTACAAAACAACAACAAAATTAAGGTCATTTCTAGCCGATCTATCATGTTCAATCAGGTAGGATTGAGGCAGATTAAAATATCTCAAAATTTCCTGGTGGATACAAAATTAAACATAGTTAAACTTGTAGAACGCAACAAATTAGAGAACAAACATGTAACATATCCACATATTTAAATCGATCCATAATACAAAAACCATTGTGAACCGTAAATCTGAAAACAAATCTACAACTCTAAAAAGATCAAGGGTTAG